TGACTCGAAACTCGGTGGTCCCTTCGGAACAGGGGGTGACACACACACACACACACACACACACACACACGCACACCCTCGCATGTCCACGCATATTGTGGGAAGGGAGTGGATGAACTGCCAACTGCTATGATCCTAGATATCTGCTATGTCTTGTTTCTGCGCTTCCTCTCAACCTGGAACCAAGCCCTCCATGCGTCGCCTGGAACCCGCCTGGATGTTCGGATGCTGCACCTTCACCGCCACCTCCGCGCCCTCGCGCTCAGTGCCGCGCCGTTCGGCACGATGCACCTGCGCCAGGGAGGCACTGCCCACAGGTGCTGCATCGAAGTCCAACGAGGCTGTGGTGCCTGGCGCTCGCGCGGCGCTCGCGCCCGGTGCCAAGCTCATGTGGCTTCATGGGCCCAAACGGGGCTTGAAAAAGGGCAGGGGTAAATTAAAGAAACTGTTTAAGGTTGGTTCGATATGAGGGACTGAAAAAAGCATCTAAGAGCTTTTGCATCTTGCACTTCGCATCAACAACTATGAATTCTTAGCCCCACCCGCCACCCGCCACCATCTCCACCGTCTCCAAATCGCACCTCCCGGCAGCTCTGTGTTCAGCACCTCGAGGACCTCCGCCCACGTGCTCTCGGGCGCGCGGTCCTGCAGCTGCGCCAAGCGCTCCACGTACTCCGCAGGCACTGCGGGCGCCAGCGTGGCGGCGTGCTGGCCCATCTTGACGAAGATGCCACCGTTGGAGCTGCACATCTCCAGCGCCAGCTGGGCACAGTCCTCTCCCGAGAAGGGAACATCCATGAAGTGTGGCTGTTCTAAGGCCAAAGTTGTGAGGGGGGTGACTGTCCGTCTGTGAGGGAGGAGGGTCCTGGAAGAGGTGGAGAGCCTGAATGGATTGGCATGTCCATAGGCATGCCTTGCTACCAGGGGTCAATTCGTCAAGAAACTGGTGGGCTGCTGATGGTCTAGAAGGGTGTGGCTCGGTTAGGGGTGAAGCTTAAGTTCCAACCATGCCAATTGAATTGCCGTGAATTGTGGGATGGGCCCACCACGAGCTCTGTCTCAGTCAGCTGATCTTAGCTGTCTAGACTCCTGGTGAGTACGTGATCTAAGTGGTCAGCACATGAGCCCAAGCGCTTGTACCGCGCGGCAATCCGCCCCGCACACACAGCTGCACGCAGGGCACGTCGCCCACTGAGGGCACAATGGTGAACCCTCTGGCGCCGCTCAGGGGTCAAGACAGCCAAAAGGCCAGCAGCAGCACAGCCAGCGGTCAAATGTCTTGCTTTGAGACGCATGACTCGCAGAAGAAAAGCAGTCTGACAAGAGCAAAATGAAAGTATAGGCCAGCGACTCTATCCAGTGCGGTTTCGGTGTACATGTCTTGCAAGGGGAAATTCGCCTTGGACAACTCTAGGTTCTACCTGTTCCATCAAACCCCGTGTCAAGTGACTCCGCCGAATCTTCTTGCGGTTCCGCGGCATAGAAAACTCCTAGTGCCACAGTGCTGCACGTCATACATTTTGTCAATTGAAAGGCGCACCCGAGTATGTCTGACTTGAGCTGAAGCGGGCGAAGACAGGGAAAATGTGGGGTCAAAAAAGGCCAACTACCCTCACATCTGATTGGATTTCATGAAAAATCTGTGGAAGTCCCTCTCAGAAACTGCACCAATTGCCTGTGAAGACCCAGTTTGCACTTTGGGTTGCCAAACATGATTCAAGTAGAAGAAAAGGACCACTTTGAGACTTTGCGATTCAAGTTGCACAGGATGCCAGGGTCCACAGTCAAGAGTTAAGAGCGTACTGAACGATGGTGAAAACACGTACCTTCGATGAGTGAAGCATTCTGACTGCATGGCAGGCTCACACCCCATCATGGCAACATCTTCAGATGCACTAAAAATTGCATGGGCCACCTATACTGCCCCCTATAAAGTGTCCCCAAATCAGATAGAACTGCATGGTAGTAAAACTTCCCTCGCTCCTGTGCCAATGTGTGACATCGTCTCCATTTCGGGACCACTCAAAGGATCGCCTGCCTCACACTGGGCACCCCCTCACCCCCGCGCCACTCGAGAGCTCAGCGCACTCGTCTCACCAGGTGCCTCAGATGCCGCCGTCGTCTTACCCAGAGAGGCGTTGTGCTGATGGGCCAAAACGCATCGGGAGGAACCCTTCACAACTAGGTTTTGAAAAGATCGGCCCCAATGCACCAGATATGGCTTTCGTCACTCAAGTTGAGAAGGTTTCTGTATGTATGTCGATGTATGTCGTACACGTGTGTGATTGTGTGTGTGTGTCATGGGGCTTAAGTGAAAACCGTGGTCTGCCTGCGAGAGATCGTGCGTCTACTTTGAACTCACTGCCGTACAAGCCTAGCATTGACTCTTGCAGGTCGTTCGCCTAAACCAAAGCATCCCAACTTTCACAAAATGAAGTGATCCCAGAGTCATCTCACACAGTGTCTGGTTTCCCTCAACTGCCATGCTTCCACTGTTTCTGTGGATCTCAGCTCCCCCATCCCTCGAGCTCCGCCACCCTGTCAGCTGATGTCATGGTGAGAGAATCTGCAAGATGCCACCCTTGTCGGTGTTCATTGCTGTGACATGAGCAACCTTCTTGGTGTAAACATACTTGCCTGAAAAATGTGCTTATAAAACAACACGTGGTCGCGGCTGGGTAGTCAAGAGCGAGTGCTGGTTGGTGGTCGCCGCATGTTCGCAAACGTTGGGCCAATGTGGTCCATTGACACCGCTACTTGTTGAGCTGTCCATGTTTTGAAGAGGGATGAACTAGATCATCAGTTGAAGGAGCTGTCCGTGGAGCAAATCAGCTGCTGCAAAGCTCCCGTCAACTCAAACCTACACGGTGTGTGTGTGTGTCCCACCCTGGACAAAGGGTTTTCCACCACCTTTTCTCCACAAGCAGGGGGCATGGCAGCTGTTTCCCTAGCCATGCCAACGAAGCTACGGGATTCAGCCGGAAGGGAATGTGGACGCACATTCCTGCACCTGCAAGAAGAACTGTTTTTCAAGCTGTCCAATCTGATCGGTTTGCTTTCATGGTCCTTCATGCTACCACCCCAAAAACAGGTTTCCCACCGCTGCTTTCAGCCGCCGACGTTCAGCCGCGCTTCTGCAGATGAGTGAACAGATTGTTAAACATTTCAGTTGCGCTGACCTTTCACCTTACGTTTCCCTCACCTTCCTTCCCAACGTGATACTTGCATTAACTGAAAATCCAAGTTCGAAGTGTGTCCTGCTCAGCCGTCCCACTCGGGTGCTGAGTGTGATCCCCTTCACAGGGGCGCTGTTTTTGCATGGGAAAGCAACCACCCCAACGCTCCACCGATCACTGGAACATCACAGGAAAGCACCGACCCCCACTTTGAATCAACTGCCACACCGGCCGCCGGGCCAAAAAACGGTTTTTGACAAATTACTCAGATTCAGAATTTCTGATTTCCGATTTCGGCATTCATTTTTCTTTTCATGGCTTCCAATCATGTGCGTGTTTATGTGTTCGTTATGTTGCTGCCGCGACTCTCTCATCGACAGCACTCAAGGAAGGGCATTGCAACTCTTCAGCTTAATTCGAGATGCATGAACACACACTTACCAACAAGCGAACGCTTAGCACCACCTTACAACATCCTCACCACCGACACCAGCGCTGACACCTTCAACAACAACAAGACAATACCACTCGGCATTTCTTCGCTGCCTTTTGCTGCCGCGCCGCGCCGAGCCATAGCTACGCCACGACATGCATTTTCCGTGGCCCTATGCTCACACCACGCCACCACCACTACCTACCACACAACCTCAACCCACATGGCCGATGCCACAGCCATCAACTGCACCCACCTATCCCTCGACACAACCACCGGCATACCCTCACCTCCAACCACAACCATTTCAACCACAACCGGTTTTATCCGCCCCTACTGCCACCGCACTGACCTACAGCACACCATCCACTTGGACTTTTGTCCCCCCATGTCACGTGCCACCGCAACCCACACATCCAGCTCCAGTTTTTCCGACAGCAGCACCTCCCCCGTCCTACCTGCTGCCATCACATCATCCCGCACCACCAGCTGAACTTCCTCCCCCCACTACACTGACACATCCCCCTCCAACACAGCAACAGACTGCGATTGCCAATTATCCATCCACAGACCCCCAATGTGCCATCCCCCAGGGCGTTTGGCAACCCTATTCAGCCTTTCCCCCCGTCACACAACCTCCACTCCAACCGGGGCCTCCGCCACCGCCTCCACAAATTACCACTGCCTCAACGCCAACCCAACCTCCATTTCAACAGCAGCTACCATCGGATCCAACACCACCGATCCAACCCATCCCCACGACTGCCCAGGACAATCCACTACCAGTCCAAAACACACCGGCCACCGTATCCCAACATTCAGCATCCCCCTCACTGGTCTCTGCCACACCAGCACCGGGACCTTCAATACCAGCACCAGACAAACCTGACACCACTGCCTCACCAGCACCACAACCACCTTCCCCACAACCACCACACAGCAGTCGCCGCCACCATCACAAGAGCCGACGCAAGTCCGACCATCATCAGAGAGGACGCCACCGCCACCGCCGCCGACATCGCCATCACCACCATTCCAAACACCACAGCAAAACCAGGCGACGGCGTTCGCCTTCCACATCCACCTACACATCTAGCCTCACACCATCCCGCAGTCGGTCCCCACCACAACCCATTGATCTACGCCCAAACACCAAACACGCGAACCCTGATCCCTCTCAATATCCCACCACAGCCGTCATCCGTCGCCCACTCAACCGTTGGCGACCTCCACCCAACTTTCACACCCTCACACCCGCAGACCAAATCCTGGAATGGCTCGAATTCCACGCCACCCAACTCGACAATCCCAACAGACCACAACACCAGTACATTGCCAATATCCTCACAGACTGCAACATCTCCTACAAGGAGATCAACGATTTCCGCCAATACACCCACGCTAAGTGGAACGACACAACTCACCAATACGACCAATTCCAGTACTATGCCATTTCACTTCCCTTCCTCAACACCAAAGCCACTACACCCGAGCCACCTGCGGTTTCCCGCGCCACATCAACCCACCGAGAAGTTGCCCACATCAACGCAGGCCACACAGGCCCCGTCGGCAACATTTCCAACATTCTACGCCAAGGCCGTTTTCTACCCAGCACACTCCACTTTGCCAACTACCCTGGATTTTTTGCCCAGGGCGTTCGCATCACCCACAACCAACCCCATGACCACAGCGAACTTGCCCGCATCATCCACAACACCTGGCAACTCCACAAGAACTCCCATTCCCTTATCATCACACTCCTTGCTTGGGGTGCCGCCACAAAGTATACCTCTGGAGGTGAGGAACACGCCATGAACCTCCTTAACGACCACCATGGTGCGGTCTTTCATCAGAAGGGCCGCTGCTGGGTGATCCACCCGGACCACGCCATTGTCAAAGGACTGGCCTGGTCCACCAACTCCACCCCACCGGACCCATAACGCCACCGCCACACATCCACACATCACTACCACCTCCAGCTCCACTTTTGGTCTCACACCACCACCCAACCTTTGCTGTAGCAGCAAAAAAGAGCCTCTTGCAGCAGCCACGGACATTTTGAACCCTTCATTTTTCTAGCACCGCAGTATTTGCTGAGAATCTTTTGAATTGTATCGGCTGTTTTGCAGGAATCTTTCACA